GGCGGCAAAGGATGAAAAGAGGAGACACACGCCTCATGAGTGGTCCTGTGCGGTGGTTCCCTTTACCTGCCTTCCTGAGGCTTCTCCACAGCAGGGAGAGAGCGAGCACGGAGGTCGGTGGGGCCCCACTCACCCGCCCTCTGCTTGTTTGCAGGAACCCCGAGGTTTCCATGAAGCCGAGGCAGTCTCTGAAAACCAAACTGGACATCTGCATCAACATCCCTCAGAACACCGCGCTGGGGAAGGCTAGGCCTCACGTGGTGGACTGAGGCCTCCCGAACATCCCAGGGCGAGCTGCGGGCAGGCTTGGACACTCTGTTTAGCACACACATCTCTCTGAACAGAAGACAGAATCTAGCCGTCCTCCTGTGGATTTTCATGGCTACTTATCCCCAGCATGCATCAGGAGTGCCGTAGATTCCCCATGGGCCACATTTTCCCCCAGAGGATGTGAATCTGTGAAATCTGTGGGGGGTGATCTGGCACTTCGATATTTTTCGTTATGTAACCGCAATGGATTTTCATGCCAAGAATGTTTACACATCACACAGGCTTGATCCTGTCACTGTAAAAGCCTTCTCTTCCAAAAATGCAGAACGTCTCGTGCTGGGAAGGTGACTCCACACTTAATTCTATATGTACATAGAGCCCCTTGCAAAGATCCAGAATCAGATTTGGAAAAAGCCTTTTTTTGAAATAGGAAGATAATAGCAGATTGAATAAAATGCCAATAAAGAGAAACTTAAGAGTGCTATTGTTGGGTTATGTTTTTAAAAGAAAGGCTGCAAAAGGAAAGAAATGTACGTATCACCCAATGTGGAAGAAATAACTGTCTCATCAAAGTTCATAGAACTCATAAACTTTATAGACTGTGATAAAGACAATTTGCCCCAGGAAGGTTAGAATGTGTTTGTGACCTTAACTAAGTATCACTATCCCACAATACTGTGAAATTTATGTAATCACTTAATCACAATTTAAAAAAAAGGCCAAAACAGGGGAGTCAATGATTGAGCTGCACAAGGTCCTAGGCTCCATCCCTCACATCCCAAATCAATTAAATAGATGATGATAGATGACAGATAGATGATAGAAGGCAATAGACGTGATCGATGACCAATAGATGACAGCTGATGACAGATAAATGACATAGATGACAGATGACAGATGGATAAAATGAAGGCTGCCCTGGTGTTCCTGGGAGCTTGGGAAGGCCCCTGGGGACAGTCAGCCCCTTCATTCTGGCTCTGTCATTCATCCAGTTTTCCTGAGTGTCTGCAACATACCAGGCCTGCCTTAAGAACTGGGGGAATCAACCATACACACAACACAGGCAGTCCATCCTCAATCTGGCATGGGTTCCGAACCCAGGATGATGGAATTTGTAAACAGCAGTGTAACCATTGTAACTGAAGACAACCTGGTAGGTGGCGAGTGGCGTTCACATGGCCCTGGGGAGACGGGGAAAGCAGGTGTGAGAAAGGTAAAGCAGGACAGACACCTGTGGGGCTGTGGAGGAGGGGCAGTGACTCCGGCTGCCCTCCTTCCTTGTCTGGCGCCTACCCCAGACAGGACAAGCAGCTGCTTGTGGAACTGGCCCAAGCTCCTAGTGTGCGTTGTCTGCCGTGGCCATCCTCCTCCTCCTCTTCCTCAGGGGATGCCACAGCGGTGTGAGGATGTGAAAGACAAGCAGGAAGTGCATGCGCCTCCTTCCTGTCCATCAATGAGATCAGAGCTGGCACATGATAGAGAACCTGGGTGGGGGCAAGGGTGCAGGACTGGGCAGTGCCATCCCTTCCCCCACTTCCCCTCTCCCACACCCAGGCCGATGACCCTGCAGGTGTGCACTAAGACGGCAGCAGGACGGCAATATGCAACCCCTCCTCCCAGCAATGGAAGCCACAACCAGGGCTGGTCCGTGTGTGCAGGCCAAACACCATGAAAACTAAAGGGGCAAATGAAAGGAGTCCTGCTGTGGTGGAGAGGCAGGGCCCTTCGTCTTCCTCAGAAGTGTGACAGCTGAGCAGGCTGGCTGCCCCCTGCCTGCTTCAAGTCACAGAGGGTGCTTCAGAGCACTGCTCCAGGTCCATTCGTTGAAGATGTGTATTTCAAGGTCGAGGGCAGAATGTGAATTTTAAATGTGGACCATACGGGAGGCTGCTATGCACGTATGCCTCCCTCAAGATGCATACTTAGAAGTCCTAACCTCCAAGGTGATCGTCTTTGGCAGTGAGGTCTTTGGGAGGTAAGGAGGTCCTGAGGGTGGAGCCTTAGTCAATGGGGTTGGTGCCCTTATAGAGACATGAGATGAATCTTTGCCACCCTGGCCTCCAGAATGATGAGGAAATACATGTTATTGAAGCCACCCAGGTCATCATATTATGCTTTTGATTGGTTTGTTGTCGTCGTATGCCAGAACTGGGGCTTGAACTTAGGGGGTCCCAAATTCTCACTACGTGTTTTCATTTATGGCTGGTGTTCTACAACTTGAACCATACCTCCAGTCCAGTTTTTCTGCTGGTTAATTGTAGATGGGGGGGGGGGTCTCTTAGACTTTCCTGCCTGGGCTGGCTTTGAACTGTGATCCTCAGATTTCAGCCTCCTGAGTAGCTAGGATAATAGGAGTGAGCCAGGGACACCTGTTTTGTCAGTATTTGTTAAGAAAAATTTGAGTTCTGACTTGTTGCTTCATTTCTGTATTTCTTAGGAGATAGATCAGAAACACTTTCAAAAAAAATTAGATTTTAACGCCCACCTGGAGAAGTGCATTTAGGAATATCTTACCAAATGTCTTCCATCAAATTAAACTGAACTTCTACAAGAGGAAGGAGGCTGCCACTTGTGTTTTCTATTTGGTGGTGGTGGTGGTAAACAGCTAAAAGGTTACAAGCAGGCAAAGACATCAACAGCTCTGTCTCAAGCTAACACATTTTTTTTCCCCAAAGCCTAAGAAACAGTCATGATTAACCTTCCAATTGTCCCCATCTTTCCCAGGATACTTTGGGAAAAATTCTCCATCCTGGGCAAGTTGGGATACCCAGGCCCATCCTGTAAATACCCACCCATCTTTGGGCTGTGATGACATTTTAGCATCAACTGGTCTATGGTGAAAGAAGCTAGTTGGTTTCTAACCTGTCACTTTCTAGTTCTGACTGGGGTGAGGAACTGAACCGGAACTTTTCACACATCATCTCCCCAGTAATTCGGTATTACCACAAAACAAACACACAACCAAACAAAAAAAAAAACCCAGGCATCTAAAATAATAACCACTTTCATTAGAGTTTATTACATAAAACTCAACTGGAAAACATTCATTCTCTTTAGCAAAAAATGTGGGGGGGGAGGATCCCCTTTGCTTTTCAAATTTTTATATCCACATTCTTGTGACACTTCCCTTTGTAGCGAACAGGAGGTGAACAAAATCAGCTGCTTAGATGTTTCCATTGACAAGAGACATCTTAAACCATCAAAACAAACCGGTGGGGAGTGATGAAACTTTCAATCATACTGTTGTGTCTAAACAATCATAAATAACAAGAGACGGGGTGCCCAATCCACAGCGCTGCTTCCTCTCCTCTCCAGGGTGATTGGCTGGTTTAAAGAACACAGAGCTTTGGGGATGACCTGCCAAAAGCCCTGCTCCTGGGTGACCCAGCACTTAGAAACTGAAGACCACAGCTCATACTGGTTAAAACCCCTTGGGGTATTTCCTCGAATGCTTGCATTCCTACTTGGAGCTGGAAATTGAGATTTACAACATGTATTTTCAAAAAGAAACAGAAGAGGACCTGTCATTAATAACTTGCTCACATCATGAGCGTAAGTTCACCACCTAAGGAAGGACTGGCCACATCTACGTTGGCCCACTTAGACTCCTAACAGACCCCTTAACATCTGGTCATTACACAAGCCGTGGAAATCAGTTAGTCAAACACCACTGCCAGTTATAGCTAAAGAAATCAGCATGTCTTTGACCATATTAAAAATGGCACCTCTGAAATCCACTCACCTGTATATCAGGGTGATAATCACTAGCTCCAATCAAAGATAGGAAAGAAAGGTCAAGCTTTGGACATAAATCATCTTCCTTTCTACACCTTGAGTTGTGATCCTCCCCCCCCCCCCCCGCCCCCATAGACTGCCTTAGAACGCATTCTATACTCCCCTTCACAACCGGCTCTCTCTAACCTGCCTGCCTCCCTCCCTAATGGAGAGCTGATAATGGGACCCAGGGGATGTCACCTGCATCAGGATGCAGAGGGGCCTCCCATGCCATAGCCCTACCACCATCCTCATAACGTACCTGAAAGTTGTGTCAGTTCGGATCCTTCCTTCCCAGCGCATGGTGGTCAGGCCCACCATCCCGGGAGAAAGCTGCTGCTCTAGACTAAAACGATGCTGTGCTGCTAGAGAGGCTATTTTTAATGCGATGCTACACCCTTTAAAGATGGGAGCTAGGAAACCGCATTCCCCGTGTGTGATGAGAAATGAATCCAAACGAACCTGGCTATCCTAATTTCATCTGCACAGTGACACACATCGGGAGGCTCACATCTGTGACCCATGAGGGGGAGAAAGAGGGCCTTTGTCATCCTTCAGGGCCCATCCTGGGGGGGTCTCACCCCCACACACACACACTGCATGATTTGTGTGGAAAGTGCAGAACATGCCCATGAAGTTGGTGTGAAGTAGTTGCTTTCCCTTTGTTCTTCAGGCTCAGAAAGACTTTCATCCCATGGAGGGGGAGGGCGGTATTCAGAATGGCTTCTTTGAAGCTCACCATCCACTTCTTTTCTTCTTCTTCTTCTTTTTTTTTTAATGTGCATGTACCAGTACTGGGTCTTGAATTCAGAGCCTGACACTCTTGCTTTTTAGTTCTTTGTTGTTTTTGTTGTTGTTCAAGACTGGCACTGTACCATTTGAGCCACACCTCTACTTCTGGCTTTCTGTTAGTTAATTGGAGATCAAAGTCTCTTAAATTTGTTTACCCAGGCTAGCTTTGAATGGGAATCCTCAGATCTCAGCTTCCTGAGTGGCTAGGATTACAAGCATGAGTTGCCATCTGGGTAGCAGCTCTACACTCTCACTGCTGAATGGGGGGTCCTGTTCTACTGCTGAAGGCTAAGGCTTGGAGAAGCTCAAGTTCAAAGACCTTGACAGTTGTTGGCTACTCTAGAGCTTAGGTAAGAGCAGGAATGGAGTGTTCAGATAGCAGTACTTCATATGACCCAGCATCATGACCAAGAAACTATACTATAAGCCGTTCCCACCCTCCCCCACCCTGAGAAGAACCTCTATGAACACAGCAGGAAGGTAGATTCAAAAGGCCACATTAGACTACAGCGGTCCGCTCCACAAACTTTTTTTACACATAGAAAGCAATTCACTCCAGCCTTTAAAATGAATTTAAATCTCTGAAAAGCTGTCTCCCAAAGAAATCATTTGGTAGATACTTGTAACAGACAGTCTTGCTTATTTTACATGATTTCTTTTTTGAAAAGACATAGAAAAAGAGAAAAATGTATTTTCCCTTAAATGTTAGTTTATTATTATTTATGACTATTATTTCACATTTAGCACATGCAAACAAAAATCTACTCTTGAATATATATTATTTCAATCTGGTTAAGGTTAATGTGGTAGGCATCTTGTTTATAGGTAATTATAGCTTCAAAGAGTTGCAAACTGTTTCTGTGACTGGGTGAGAAACTCCACACAATTGGGGAGAAAAACTCAGAGAAAGGTGGATTTGTTGTTGTTGTTGCTGTTTGTATTTGTTTTTTTTGCCAGTACCAAGGTTTGAGCTCAGGACATTTTACTTGTTTGCCACACCTTGAAACACACCTCCATCCTAGCCTTTTGCTGATTATCTTGGAGATGTAATCCCTCAGGACTTTTCTGCTCAGGCTGGCTTCTAATCATGATCCTCCAGATCTCAGCCTCCCTGAGTAGCTAGGCTTATGGGCATTAACTATACGTCACCAAGTTCGAAAAGGCAACTTTTTTTAAAAAATTAAAAAGACTAAGAAATATTTTGTAAAAGTTCCAATAGGAAAATGAAATTCCAAAGCCCTTAAGGGCACAAATTACCCTTGGAACCTTTACCGATTAAATCTGAAGTGAACTTGACATTGCCTGGAGTTCTCCAAAGAAAATGTAGAGAGAGGAAGTTTTGATCGTGAGCCTCTTCCCATGCCATAGATTAAGGAAAGCCTTTTAGCCGTGTTGGCACGCCTCCAAACAAGATGCCAGGTAGATCAGAACAGGTCAGTTTGTCAGAACCAATGTCCATCACTCTCCTCCTCCTCCTCCTCATTGTCTAGATAGAGGAGGGCCACTTTCTTTTCATCTGAAACCACCGACCTTTGGTCTACGATTCTTTGTAGCTGCACCATCTTGTCAAACCCAGCCTGCTCTGCCCCCTGCTCTGCACGGGCCTGACGCTCATCCCCAACAGAAGGCTGAAAGCTCCTGCCCGCTTCTTGATCGTCCCTATTGTCTGTGGCTCTCCAGCTACCAGAGTCAGAAGCGTCTGCTTCCATCTTTGCCCCTGGGGTTCGGCTGGGGCTCGCCCTTGCGTTATTCAGGTCCACCTGAAAGGTAAATGAAGTTTCTTTGGGCCCCAGTGCAATGGGACTTAGTGGGCTATGACTGTCATCTCCCCTGCCTAGCTCTGAGGAGGCCACCGCACCACCAAATGTGGATGTCTTGGACATGGACCCGTGGCTGACGATGTGTTCAGAGGTTCTAGTTTCTGCGGGACCTAGCCGAATGTGCCTGGAGGACCGACTCCAGCTCGACGACACTGCCGTGCCTGCGTCCCCTGCTCTCTGCCCCCCTGGAGATTCAGAAATGAGCCTCTGGAATGTTCTCTGTTCAGTCAGGAGCACTTTCCTACCAATGTCATGACCCTGAGTGGCCGGGATGGCGTCTGCTGAGCCATCTCCCTGGAAGGTGCACCCAGAGTCACTAAATTCCACCGGCTGGGAAACTATCTCCTCCGTGGTAATGTGTGTCACGGGTGTACTGTTCCCTGGTGACTCCTCTCTGGTCCCCCGTCCCACTTGGTTGGGGAGGGGGGCTATGAACTGGATTTCCCCCCTGAACCCTTCTTTGGGGCCTAACTGGAGGTGCCTGACAGAAGTGTGAGTACCCACTGACTCTTCCACTTCCAAGTTACCCCCAACATTGGCTGACCCAGAAAAGGGACCTTGAAAGTGAATTTCCTTTTCAGCATGGAACTGCTGGAAACCATAGGGGCTGCGCCTTCCAGATGTGTCAACATCTGTAGACTGCCCGGCCAGGCCAGGCTCTTCCGGGTCAGGACCTGGGAAGATGACTTCCGGCGCTAACTGACTTTGACCGGAAGCTGAGGGAAAGAACCTCATAGAGCTGCTGGCACCCACTGAGCTGCCTGCTGGCCTCAGGTCCCCACTTACCTCCAACACCTCTGCACCAGCTGCTCCATGGGAGACCCGCTCGGTCCTCCAGACGGCAGTGGGGCCTAGCTTAACGTGCCTCCCAGACTGGCTGATATCCTCTACCACGTGAGATTGCACAAAACCCCGTGGGCTGCTGACTTCCACAGTGGCTGACACTGGGCCCTGGACGGTGGGCTGGTCAGTGCTGCGAGAGGCCTGGCTGGTGTCATCCCACTCACCGGATGGGCTGTACAGTTCCCTGGTGGCCCAGCGCTTGAAGCGAATGCCCCCCACTGGCACCTCTGTCCCCTCCTCGTTGTCCGGGCTGCCAGCTGTCCGGCTGGGTTGCTTGATCAAGCTCTCTCTGACCACTGCCTCAACCGTCTTTTCTATTTCCCCAGCGTCATCTCGGCTCAGCTCCTCCAGGTCCAACTGGTCAGCATCCACGGTCTGTGACAGGTTGACCTCCGCGACTAAGGTCACGGCCCCGCCCCCGGAGGTGTGGACTTTCTTCACGTCCACCGACATGCTCCCTGGCTCGCCCTGGCCCTCCTTGGTGAGGGCGGACAGCTCCTCCTTCATGCGCTCGGGAAGGGTTTCCTCCAGCTGCCCGATCACCTCCACCAGCTCGTGGCGGGGCTCCTTGGAGAAGACACGCTTAATGGAGGTGTGGAGTTCGTGGGGTATTTTGATTTCTTTCTCGATGACTGTGGGCTCTGCGTGTACTTCACCACTAGCTTCTTCCTTCCAGTGGGCAGAACCCAGGCCACCCCCTAAGGGGGGAGCCAGGATATCCACAGCTTCCACATCCCTGTCCTTCTCACCTGTCACGTGGCCCCTCTTTCTCCGACAAGTGCCCTGCACGATCTCGTCTTGCCAGGAGTACCTGATGGTAGACTCTTCTTCAATGTGGATCTGCCCGTACACTGAGCCTTCGTCCTTGTCTCTGCCAAGCCCCCCAGGGTGCTCCTCGGGGGTCGACACAAAATAACTCTGCTCTCCCTCTGAGTCACCTGCCTCTGTCACTTCTTCCACCAGAGGTCTGTTTTTCCAGGCCTGCTTGGTCTTTTCACGTTGGCGATCGGAGAATGGGACATCCGTCGTCTCTCCCTCCTCCTCCTCTTCCTCGACAATCCCCATGGAGCTGGGAGTCATGTCATCAGCCTCCTCCACTTGAAAGGGGGTGGGGGACTCCCCGCCACCCATGTAGCTCATGGGCTCTTCCACAATCTCCACATTGACTACCTTTGCCTTCCCCTCCCTCCCTTGCAACCCCAGATTGATTATGTCTCCTATCATCTGTTCGGTCGATTTCCCCTTCAGGCCCACGTCCTTGACATTCTGGCTCAGAAGGTAATCTAGGCCGGCTTCTTGAGAAACATCTACGTCTTCCCTCAGTTTGGATTCCACGACTATTTCCGTCTTGGTTTTCTTGCCACCAGGAAGCTCCTGCCTGCCCACAAAAGTGACTTTTGTGTCTGGGAAAGAATCGGCAGATACTTCTGCATCGGAAGACTGGGTGAACTGCTGGAGGATACTGGTGACAATGTTTTCAGCGATGGTTTCGGTCATGGGATCACCTGGCAGAGAGCTGGCGGTGTGCCTGGTGTCCAGCCTGAACCTAGTCTCTCTTTTTACCGCCTCCGTGTCCTGGCTGTCACCTGCATCCTTCTTCCTGAGTGTCTGGAGACCTTTCATGGACACTTCCGGTTGGGTGCCCTGGGATGTTTCTAGAGTAATTGGGATCTCTCTTCCTTTGACATCTTTCTCCTTCAATGCTTCCTTCCCTTTGGCTTTCTCTCTCAACTGCTGGCTTTCCCTCTTTCTCGCTTCTTTATCCAACTTTGTTAGTTCTTCCCACCTTAAGTTTCTCTCCTCGGATGCCTTCTCTTTAGAATCGAACATTTTCCTTTCTGGTTTTATCTGGACAATTCCTGGTCTCTCGCGTTCCTGTTCCTTGGTGGTTTCCACTTCTATTTTCTTTCCCAGAATGACACTCCTCTCGTGTGACCGAGCACGCTCCCCGGCTCCCGTCCTGCTGTCTCGGCCCTCACGGAGTGACTCGTGGGCCAAATGAGCAAGGATGTCTCTGGTACCTTCTGATTTCGGTCTACTAGGGAATGTTTTCACGTAAGCATCTGTATCTCTTCCAAGACCGAGGGTTGGAGAGACAGTTCTGAAACTGGTCTGACTCTTGATGGTTTTTTCATAAGCGTTTTCCTGCAGGGTGGTAGTGGAGGAAGAATAGCCTGGGGTCAGGACTCCTCGTGTGGCTGCACTTCTGACAGGTGTGGCTGTCTGGGACCCCAGGTGCCTGACTCCGTTGGAATACAGAGCCGAGCTGTGATTTACGGATGCCAGGGGTGCTTTCTGTCTTAGAAGCAGATTTCTTTCATTTTTCCTCTGTAATAGTGAGTCAGTGTAGTGGTAGGATGTGTTTCTGAAATCTGCAGAAATGGAATGGAAGAGTTCATTACAAGGATAGGCATCATTATCTTTCATTCATCTTAAAAGTCTACTGGGTGTGGTGGATCATACCTGTAATCCCAGCTACTCAGAAGCTGGAGATTAGGAAGAATGCAGTTTGATGCTAGTCCAGGCAAAAAGCAAGGGAGACACCCCCCCCTCCCCTACAGAAGTCTGTAAAACTTAAGGCCTGATAGCAAAGTTCACAACTAGAAATCTTGATTCATAGCTTCTTTCTCAGGCATAGTATGCAGCTGTGAAAGTAGATTTAGTTTGCAAATATAAGGTCTTTATAACCCTTTAAGAAGCTTAGAGACTGCCAGCACCAGTGGCTCATGCCTATAATCCTAGCTACTCAGGAGGCTGAGATCTGAGGATTACAGTTTGAAGCCAGCCCAGGCAGAAAAGTCTGTGAGTCTCTTATCCAATCTACCAGCAAAAAGTTGGAAGTAGAGCTGTGGCTCAAGTGGCAGAGCACCAGCCTTGAGCACAAAAAGCTCAAGGATAGCACACAAGCCCTGGGTTCAAGGGCCAAGACTAGCACAAAGAGACAGAGAGAGAGAGAGAGAGAGAGAGAGAGAGAGAGAGAGAGAGAGAGAGAGAGAGATCACATCTATACTGAACATGAGCAGATTGTCTTCTTGCCGTGAAGTTAGTCAGTTTTTTTACATTTATTTACCTTGTGGCATGTTGGCAACTTCCTCTGTCCAGACGATTATCTCCGGATTGCTTTCTCCTTCCAACAAGGCTCTGCAAAAATATTTCTGAAGTCATTAAAAAAGTCATTGAAAATGGAAGATTGCGCCTCTATTATAAAATATCCCTAGACAGTATTGGCCAGTGAGGACACTGTCACAATGCCATGAACTGTAGGGAGAGGTGGCTGGGCCCAGGGCCGCACCTCAGGGCTGCAGCTGCCCCCCACCCCTGCCACGCTCCACTGCTCTGCTCCCTGCCAGGTCCCTGGAACCCACACAGAGGTGCTTGCCTGGCAGATGCCCAACAGATACGAGCGAAGTGAGGAAAATGTGTGGGCCGGGGATCTAAGTACAGAGAACCCCGCCCACCCCAGGAAGGGCAGGCACCAGGTGGCACTGGATAAGATGGGCTGAGGAGGGGAGATCTTGCTTCTCTGGGAATCAGTGCTCAGGTCAGCACTCTACCTGGGCTACAGCATCCCAATACAGCTGCAGCCCTCCACCAGAAATCACGAGGGAATCTGGGAGAGGCAGCCTGCAGAGCTGATGGAGCAGAGTGGCGAGTGGCATTATTGCTCCAAGTTGGGCAGTTGGGCTGCGTCTGTGGTTTTCAAACTGGGGTCTATAGGAATATACTCTGTGTGTGTGTGTGTGTGTGTGTGTGTGTGTGTGTGGTCTATAGGAATATACTGTGTGTGTGTGTGTGTGTGTGTGTGTGTGTGGTCTATAGGAATATAGTGTGTGTGTGTGTGTGTGTGTTATGCTAGAGATGGAATCCAGAGACCTGCACAAGCCAGGCAAGTGCTGTACCACCAAGCTAAGTCCCAGACCTATGAAGATATTGTGGAGATGAAAAAGAAAAGAAAAGAAAAGAGACAAAGGCAAGCAGGTTGAAAAGGAAGAACTAGAGACCCCCAGGTACACACACACACACACACACACACACACACACACACACACACACCACACTCCAAGGCCTCTCTGCCTCCAGGGTAGCACTGTTGTCCTGGTTTTGTTTTTTTTTTAATAACGGATTAAAAATGAATTTTAAAAAAATGTTGGGAAGTACCCAACTGGGTGGCTTCTTCAGCTATGCCTAACTCCAACATTTTGAAAGTATCATCATTCTCCAGAGTTTGGCATTGTAAAAGGAGTGGCCTGAAGGCCACAGCTTGATGCAGGAGTCGAGTCCTGGGGTGTCCATCAACAGAGACCTCAAGGCCGCCAGAGGCTGTGAGCTCTGTGGTTTCGTTGCTAGAGTAACAAGGGCGTCTGTTAAGTCCAGCTCTCAGAAATATACAGGGAATGACAAAGGGTATCCAGAAGCACAGCCCACTGGGAAATGCTGGTTATTACCAGCGAGAGCCAGGCAGGAAAACAGAAGAGGAAGCCTAGATCCCCGCCGGGGCTTGGTGACTCAGGCAAACCATACAAAGGCTTATTTCCACTGAGATGATGATTCTACATGATGCCCACAGAGGCAGGACCCTCTTGCAGGCAGCTAAAAGAAAGGCAAAAAGCCCACAGGAGTTGGGCATGGGAGACTCACGCCTGTAATCCCAGCTACTCAGGAGGCTGAGATCTGAGGATCACTGTCCTAAGCCAGCCTGAGCAGGAAAGCCCATGAGACTCATTTCCAGCTAACCACCACAAAAGCCAGAAGTGGAGCTGTGACTCAAGTGGTAGGGCACTAGCTTTGAGCACAAAAACTCAGCAACAGTGCCTAGGCCTCAGGACTAGCACACACAGACCACACACACACACACACACACACACACACACACACACACACACACACACACACACACACACACACACACACACATTCTGTGCCTGTGTGTCTGTCTCTCTCACACACACAGTGCTCAAGGGGGTGCATTTAGAGGGCTGCCACATCAGCAGTGACTAAAATGCACCCATGTGGAAAGACCAGAGGCGAAGGCCAGAGCCTCAGTCCTTCCAGTCAGGATGGAGGCCAGGAAACACAACACCCATCCATTAATCCCACACCCTCATGACCAAGCAGTTTGGGTGCCAGGAGCACAAATAGCTTCCATCGCCAAGAAACCTCTGAGGCCTGTGGAGTAAGTGGAATGCTCTGAGCAGCACCAGCTCCACGGACGTGCACCCAGGATCGCTGAGGTAGCATCCTACAGCCAGAGGCCGGAACACAGCAAGGACAGAGGGCCAGTCTCCACTCAGATCCTGCTCAAAGCAAGCCTCAGGTGCCATAAGCCACGTGGAGCAGGCTCCCTGAGTCAGGACAGAAGACCTTCGGCGGGGAAAGGCCCCAGGGACTCAATGAAATCTGTCTGCCCACCATCCCATAGGGAATCGTTCTGCGCCTGTCTCCCTAAATCAAAGCATCTCCAAGCTTCTACAGAGCCAGGCTCCTGAGTGGGGAGCCAGCTGGGGTGTGTGGTCTGGAGGAAGAATGAAACCCAGCCCTAGCCTCTTCCTCCAGCAGGGCTGGCCCCGCTCAGCTCCTCCTATCTACCTCATATCCATGTGCTTACAAAAGCCAGGCTGCTCCCAAAGGGCCTGGCCTCCACCAGCAATGCAGGGGAAGCCTGGAGAGAGTTCTTCACCAAAGGCCCTGGGCTTCCTGGAATCCTCGCAGCCTGCCCTCCCACCCTCTCCCCTGCCAGGTCCCAGGACTACCGTAAGGCCAGGGATGGTGGACATTGCATCTGAACGTCACAGCATGAATCCTGCAGGCAAGGCCTTCATGCCAGATTCAGGAAGAAAAAAGCCATCTGCTGGATGTCACCCTAAACGTCCCTAACCACTCCCAATCCCTCATCTGTGCCCTACCAAGAGCTAGACCCCACAAGGCAGAGGCACATGTCACCGGAACACCCAGCACCAGGCTTGAAAGGCACCCCCAGAGTGCCTGTGTGCCTGGAGCCAAAGGAACAGATGCACCCAACTTTTTGGTTTTGGTTTTGTGCTGATTCTGGGGCTTGAACTCTGGGGCCTGGCTCAGCTTTTTCCACTCAGAGCTGGGAGCTCTACCACCTGAGCCACACCTCTCGATGGGGCTTTTTTGCTGGTGAATTGCAAAGAAAAGTCGTGTAGAATTTTTCCGCCGGGGCTGGCTTTGAATTGTGATTCCCCAGATCTCAGCCTCCTGAAACAGTAGAGGATTGAGAAACGGGAGCCTGCTTTAGATGCGGCCAACTTTCAAGAAATACAGGGAGTGTGCTCAGAGGCTCCCACCAAATCTGGCTATTTTGAGAGCAATGGAGGAAAACTGCCCCGAGGCCACAGAGAGAGAAATGCCAAGCTCCTGAATCACAAGCTATTAGTGAGCATTTCACGCTGTTCCACAGGCTGGCAGATTGTCTAGCAGGCAAACCAGAGAAGTTATGAGAAAATCCAATTCCTGGTTTGGACTCCCACACAAATCCACAGAACAGAACTGAGCAGTAATGTGGCCTCTGGCCAGGTCCCAGGCTTTAATGGCCCACCCAGCGTCTTAACCAGCCCCACACTGGGGGCTGTCTGTCTAGGATAGATGATCCTAATGGAACTTCGTGGTATATCCGCTGTTGCTTGGCACAGTGGGATGCCAGGCCACCACACAGAATACCTCCCAGAAATGAGGGCAAGAGGGAGGGGAGAGGCAGGCAGAGGATGCTTCCAGAAGGGATACCTGTGTGGAGCTTGCTGTGGTCCCGGGGGCCAGGGCTGGTTCCCGTGGCATTTGCCTGCAGGTGTGGAGCTATGAGTAAAAGAAGGGAGTCTACAGGTTGCACATCTGCCTCTCTGCACCTCTGCATGGAACACATGGAAGGTGTGTCCACAGACGGAGCCTGGCTTACCCCAGACTTTTTTTTTTTTATTCTACAGCTGGTTGGTCACATGAGGGACATCATAGGATGGGAGGTAGGAGAGGAGAGACAAGCCAGGCCTCTCCTTCCCACAGGCAACATCAGGACCTGAACCTTGAAGGGTCAGAAGAGCCACAGATTCAGATAAAGAAGAATCCAGTGACGCTGCTGATCTCTCTCATGTTCATTTGGAACTCACATCCCCAATGCCATCTCTAGGTCAATACTAGAAACTGGGGGCCGAGGGGCGGGGACGGGCAAAAAATTATGATCAACAGAGAGACAAAGGCTGTTCTGCTATTCCTCAGAACATGAACAACGAAGATTTGCCAGGGGCCAGAGACACTGGAAGATCTCATTCCCATGTTCACCTGCCAGCCAGGGCTAGCCTGCCATCCACAATGTTGGATGGAAAGCTTCATTCTTGAACTCTTTGATGTTTTCTTGGTTTTCATTCTATAATATCTTACTTACTCTATCAAATTCTCTGTTCATTTGTAAGTTAGAAGCCTATATTTAGAAATCATGTTTCAATATTCTGTAATGATTTATGTTTCTCCTGTGAAAGTTGTAGGAAAAGCAACCTATCCAGGCTGGGAAAGAGTTCAGACCCATTGAGAACTGGCCTTGCTCAGCAGATACACTGCAGCACAAAAATCCAGTGCTGCAATTGATGCTATTCAGGGGATGGAAGTAGCAGGATCTTGATCCAAGGCTGGGCACAGACACAGACACAGACACACAGACACACAGACACACAGACACACACACACACACACAGAGTGAGACTTGATTTGCAGAATAATGAAAGCGCAAAGGACTAGATGTGTGGCTCACACAAGGCCCTGAGTTAAAAACCCTGTTAATACTAAAACAAACCGATAAACAAAGCCAAACAAAAATCTGCAGCAAATATGCCTTACAATTTCAACAGCCATCGTCCTTTTCCTTTCTTCTATAAAAGATATTCAACCTAATGAGTCCCAGGGCAATGACTGTCAACAAAGCAGTTTGTGTGGTCATGGCCACCACAGGGAAAGCCAAGTGGCAAATCAGCATGAAGCCAGTAGGGGGAACAAGTCTAGCCTCGTGGAGCTGATAGTCCTCGGTAAGACAAGGGTAAGAAGGAGGCCGACTTGCTTAAAGATGGTGGGTCATAGTTTGCAAAGACTATGGGTCATCAGATCATACACTGACATAAACACGAGTTCCCACCCCTGCCCTTAGAACCTGAGCCATGGCACAGACTACGGGGGGTGGGGGGGAATCAAACAAAACACATTTATACAAGGAAATGAGTTAGGCTATTTAACCATCTATATACATCTTGGGTGGCAGGAGGTCTGGAGCGATGCTAGCCCTCCGACCCAGTCACCTGTACCAAGACTGGGCCAAGAATCATCTCAGGTTCCTGGCATAGCTCATTCCCCACCCCCACACCCCTCCTGAGAAGCACAGAGACTTCTAAGTCCACAGGACATGGCCCGGTCAATCCATCACCGAAGCAGACAGGAACAATTTGCTCTGTCCCTGCCCACTGTCTGGCTTCTGGCCTCCAGCAAAAATGGCTCCCAGTCAATGTGAGCTCCTGGGAGAAGCTAAGTGGCTTCGGTAGGCTGTGAGCGCCCCGCAGCAAATGCAGGTCCTGACTTCGCACATAAGTGCCTGCTGAGCACTCCTGGCTTTTTTAGGATTGAGAACGAGAGGCCAGGCCCAGTGACGGAAGGAAAGGTCTGGACATTCCAGAGAGACAGAGAACAGAATGAGTCTCCATTCCAAGCCAGAGAACCATTACTGTAAGGTCTAGCCTGGGGGGGGGGGGGGGGGGAGGCAGATTCCTTCCTCCTCTTGGCTAAGTCTCCGCCCAGTACCTGTGTTACCTAGGTAACTGGCATACCTGGGCTGCCCCCATCACTCCCAACAGACTGTGGGAGGGTCCCAGGCCCTGAGGTCACATCTGTATCCAGTTGTGACTACACCTTCCCTCACCTGACCACACCTTCTCCCCGCCCCTTCCCTACCTAAACCCAGGTCAGACCTCAGCCTGAATACCAAGTGGTGTTCTCTTGATTGGCTACCTGATTAGACCTGGTATATTTAATTTACCTTACAATTACAAAAAGGAAAAGGAAAGAAAAATCCAACTCCCTCTGTGGGGACTAGATGTTCTAACTTGAGATGTTACTAACACAGGCCCATCCCACCCACCTTGGAGAAATCTTCTCTCGAATGAGAGCTTCCAGAAGGAGATCACCTCCAGTCAAAAATAAATGGCCATGCAGGAAAAGCAAGGGCCACCCCAAGGGTGGCAGGGGACAGCCTGCTGTGCAGAACTGACCGCCTCTGTGCCCTGCTCAGCGCCCAGCCCCTTCAAAGGCCCTTAGGACCTTCCCACCATCAGAAATGGTGTGGATAACCCAATACGTAAAGCCAGATGCCCAAGACTTCCATGGTGAGCTCGTGACACAGCAATAAGGAGAGTCTGTGCTCAGCCATTTGAAGCAATGGCTCAACAGGTAGATGGATGTCCTGAGTCCTGATCCTCCTTCCTTCCTTCCTTCCTTCCTCCTTCCTTCCTTCTTCCTTCCTTCTTTCTCTCTCTTTCTTCCTCCCTCCCTCTCTCTTCCTTTCTTACTTCCCTCCCTATCTTCATCTCTTCTTTCATTCCCTCCCTCCCTTCCTCCTTTTCTCCCTCCCTTCCCTCTTTCTTTCTTCCTTCCTCCCTCCCTCTCTCTTCCTTTCTTACTTCCCTCCCTCTCACCCTTTCTCTGGGGCTTAAAGTCAGAACCTGGGCACTGTCTCTGAGTTTTTATACTCAAGGCTAGTGCTCTACCACTTGAGTCACAGCTCTACTTCTGCCTTTTTGGTGCTTACCCAGAGATAAGAATCTCATGGACTTTCTTTCCCCTGCAACTCAAACCTCAGAACTCAGCCTCCTGAGTAGCTAGGATTCTTATTCTACTTTCTAGACCTCCACTTTCTAGTTCTAAAACGTCCCTTGGCTATATTTGTTCACCTGAAAACACAGCTTCTAACTCCCAGGATCCAATGAGTTGGCGCATACAAAGCCCTTGAACTGTAATCCAGGACACAGAATCAGTAGAGGAGGATGCACGGCTCAGCGAGTGCTGTGGCTGGGAGGTGGGGGGTTGGGGATCCTCCAATGGGATCTGAACACACCCCAGCTCTTCCTCCCTTTGGCCCTGAACACTGTTATCTGGCCACACCGGGGGGGGGGGGGGGGGGGTGTTGCTCTCTGCTTTTCACAAAGCCTCAGAAGTCTCTGAGGCTGCAGCATCCTTACCTGTAGGTCGCCACCTCCAGGCTGAGGCTGGTCTTCACCTGCAGAAGTTCTTGATAGTCCCTTAATCGATCAGCCATGGCCAAGGTGAGGGCTTCCTTCTCCTCCTCCAGACAGTCAATCACCCTCTAGAGAGAACAGAAGGGCTTTTATATCTGCGACCTGGATGGAAGACACCACGAGCGGTCATCATGTGAAGATGATCTCAAAGACACAATCTCTTCTAACTGGAAGGTGGGTTGCATTACGCGCGGAGGATTTTGGTAGGACCCTGGCTTCTTCGTTGGGCCGTTCTGATCATAACACAGGCTGAGTTTATTCAGATTCACCTCTATTTCAGACACTGGTTTGCTCAGAAAGCCAATACACCTAACCAGGCTATTAAAATACATCCAACTAGATGTGATGGGGAAAAAAATAAGCCATGAGTCACAACAATGCCTGTCATCCCAGCTACTCAGGAGGAGGAGATAGGAAGACCCAAGTCCAAGATGGTGAAAAAACAACCTGGAAGGGAAAGGGCTGGGGGAAGCTGAAGAGTGCTTGCTGGTCAGTGCACGCACTCTAACATGGCCCCTCCCACCTGGTCAGGCCCCTCATCTGGCTTGTTGCTCTCTCTGCATTCAGCCTCCGGCCCAATGATCTGCATAGCCAAGCAAATATGTCAACACTGCAGAAGTCCACAGGCGCTTTTGGGGGCAGTGTGGGGGGGTTGCCAGTCCTGGGGCTTGAACTCAGGGCCTAGGCACTGTCCCTGGGCTTCTTTTGCTCAAGACTGGCACTCTACCACTTGAACCATAGAGCCTCTTCTGGCCTTTTCTGTTTATGTGGTACTGAGGAATCGAACCTAGGGCTTCATGCATGGTAGGCAAGCACTCTACCACTGAGCTACCTTCCCAGCCCTCCAGATGCTTTTGTTTCTGTTCCCATGTTGGGGCTTCAACTCAGGGCCTGGGAGATAGCCCTTAAATTTTTCTGCTCAAGACTGGTGCTTTACCACATGAGCCACAGCTCCACTTGTGGCTTTTGTTAGTTAATTGGAGATAGGAATCTCACAGGCTTTTCTACTCAGGCTGGCTTCAAATTTCAATCCTCAAATCTTATAGGTGTGAGCCATCAGGGCTCCTCTCTAGTCCATATACTTTTGTAAGGGGAACATAGCTAACTAAGCCACACTTACGAATGCTTACCTTTGTAGAATTTTAAAACTATAGGTCTAAGAGAAAAAGGAATATATTTTTCAATGCTGCTGGAACTCCATCACTACTATTGGGCTCACAGTAAGATAGAAAGAGACCACAATAAATACAGAATGCCAGAAATCAATGGACGAACTCACGCTGGATCTTACAACTGGGTTGATTGGTCATTTTTAAAAAACTGCATGACAAATGCAAATAGTTTGCATTCAAGGACACTTCCATCTCTAAGCCAACAATTATTCAAAGTTCTCATTAAACATAAAGAGTGCTAAAAATAAGCCAGACACTGGTGACTCACACCTGTAATCCTAGCTTTTCAGGAGGCTGAGATTTGAGGATTGCTGTTCAAAGCCAGCCCAGGTAGGGAAGTGTGTGAGACTCTCATCTCTAAGTAACCACCAGAAAACTGGAAGTAGCGTTGTGGCTCAAAGTGGTAGAGTGCTACCTTTGAGTGGAAAAAGCTCCAGGGACAGAGCTCATGACTGATGAAAAAAAAAAGTGCTAAAAATAAATGAATAAACAAATATAAGCAAAGCTCACTTAGCTTTTAAGACCAAGGCATAAATCTACAGATGACTGGCTAATGTCCCAGGTCCCTTTACGTAAAACAAACCCCAAACACTGACCGAATCTGCAGATAAGTGGTTGGCCGAAGCCAGCCTCTTGCCAGCCCTTACTTTCAGCAAGAAGCCAGGACAGTCACATCTTTTCTATAGTTAAGCATCACTATTAAAACTCTGTTTCCCTGTTTCAGAGGCAAATACATACTCAAATACAAGGTTAGAATATGAAATGTGCTATAAATGAGTGTGTGTCCTTTCTAATATAGGAAGTTTAATGCCTAAGCACTAATATTTGAGAATCTGTCATTTCTTCCCCCTCCCCCCATGGTCAGATGAACTCAGTTCCTCACCCGCAAATCTTCCCAGCCAGTCCACGGGGGTCGCTCCAGTGGGGCTTCTATCCTCCCAGGGACACACAATAGGTCTGGATTGTCACTAAATATGAAGGGGGGATGTGGGCCTTAAAAATAATTACAGTTCAAGTCCTATCAACATGGGAGTCAGAGCTCCCCACACTTGGCGGGAAATCTGTTGGCTTTGGGAGGCAGAACAGAGGAACTGGGAGCTTCTTGGCTCCCAAGGGCTTCCCCAGGAATCACAAGCAATCCCCCTGAGGGAAGGAAGCCTTGAACTTGGGCTCCGCTTTGCCAGAAGTTTGTAAACTGTGGCCCAAGCCAGAAGTGTTGCAGCTTCAGACACCGGGTGCTAATCCCAACCAAAAGGTTGTACCTAATGCTGTCAAAACCTGGGAAAGGAGAACTCTGGGGGCAGGAATGAGATCCAACTCTTCCAGGAAAAGTGTGCTGCTGTTAGTGGCAAAGGAATGAACTTTCTCCTCACCTCACTTGAGCTTCCCCTTGTCAAGCTCATGCCTGTAATCCTAGCTACTCAGGAGGCTGAGATCTGAGGATCACACTGCCCAAGCCAGCATGGGCAGCAAAGCCCATGAGACTCCAACCAAGTAGCAAAAAGCCCAAAGTGGAGCTGTAGCTAAAGGGTCAGAGCATCTGTCTTATGTAAAAAAGCTAAGGGAAAGCACCCAGGCCCTGAGTTCAAACCCCAGTAGGGATCCCCCCAAAACCAAACAACAACAACAACAAAACACCCAGAATAAATGTAGACTCTTATGAGTACCTTGTTTCAGAGTCACAAAAGTGATTAAGAGCTTAACCTGCCTGGTGACAGAGTCAAGAGTTCAGGCCCCAATAGGAAACTTAACCATGTGGCTATTCCCATACCCCTTCCAATCAAAAGGAAGTTTTCCTTTACACAAATAGTCATCCTAGTGGCTAAGTCCTCACTCCCACGAGAAAAACCTCCATGTTTCCCCAGAAAGGCTGGCATCAATTACAAATGTCATCGAGGATTCTGTGTACCGTTCCCGGCATGCTCCTCAGGCTTCGCCTGACCCAAGCCATATTAAGTACTGCGAACTTGTGAGTCTGTTCAGCAAACTCTGCTCTGGCAAACCTGGGACACAGGCCAGCAAACAACACTGCCCACAGACTAGGCACATAGGACATGCAAAGGACCTCTCTTCCCAGGGTTCCTGGGGAAATTCTTTCCCTCACAAACTATGCAGGGGACCGACGGACCAGGAGAAACTGTAATTGTGTGCTGCTGCCTCTGCTGCACTGCTCCTGTGCCAGGAGTGGAGGGTGTGTGTGTGTGTGTGTGTGTGTGTGTGTGTGTGTGTGTGTGTGTGTGTGTGTGTGTGTGTTTGGAAATTAATGTCCCATGAAACCACATGGAACAGCCAGGTGCTGGTGACTCACGCCTGTAATTCTAGCTACTTTTCAGGAGGCTGAAATCTGAGGATCACAGTTTGAAGCCAGCCTGGGCTTGAAAGTCTGAGAGACGCGTATCTCCAATTAACCACCAAAAGCCAGATGAAGAGCTGTGGCTCAAGTGGTAGAGTGCCAGCCTTGAGAGGAAAAAGCTAAGGGACAGCATCCAGGCCATAAGTTCAAGTCCCTATACTGGTCCAAAAAAGACAAAACAAAAACACTTTCTGAAATTGTGTTCCTGTTATTTGAAACGATGTTCCTGAGAAACAGTGATAGTGTGACTTGGGAATATTTCCAAACCCAGCTGAGGCAGGCCAGGGCAGGAGCCAGACACTTGGACTATACGGGTGTGCGGACAATAAATCAGCTACAGGTGTCGCCAGGGGATGTCAGAGGGTTAGGGCTGGGCCATTTTGGAATGACAACTGTGTATATTCCTCTGCACTTGTAATAACATCCCACAGGGACCTGCTTTCCCATCCTTTTAACATTGCCCAGAGAGCTGATGTCAGCTCATGCTGTGAGCAAAACAGCTAGGCCCTGGTTGCTGCCCTCCCCGCCCCAAACACAAACCAATAAAAAATAAACAGCCACACCGGGAGCGGCAGCCGGCTGCGGGAAATGAGTCTGGCAAAACAAAAACAAAGAAAAAACACACACACAAGAAACAAGCAAACAAACAAAAACCCACACTGCTTGCCTAGCAAGCACCAGACCCTAAATTCAACCCCAAGCAAGTACTGCATGGAAATAAATTTAATAAAATACCGTTTGGGGAAACCTATTTAAGATCGAGCACCATCTAGGTAAGAAATGTCTTTGCCATTTTGGGAAGTCAGAGAACTTGCTTATTTCACTTTAGGGGCCAAATCTATAGAACACAGGAAGCCGAAGGAACCCAGAACTAACAAGATCGTGTGCCAGGATGTGTCCAGTCCCGCCAAGATCTAACGAGATGCTGAGGACTGTCCCCATGCATGTCACTGGGAGCGAAGGACCACACTTTTCTTCAGGGAGATGCCAGGGCCCTGTGGTCCAGAGATAAAGCAGCTCTCTGCACCCAGGGCTCTAAGTCATTCCAGAACCCTTCAAGCCTGGGTCTCCCCACGGCCCCGATCGTGCGCGGCGGGGGCTGGGCCTGGGTGACCCGGGAGGGCTCGAGGTTCCCAGACACCCACCTGCCGCTCCTCGGCCTGCAGCCCGCACTCCTCGCTCATGCGCAGGAGCTCGTCCTCCAGCTGCGCGCGCAGCCGCTCCAGCTCCAGCGCCTCAGCCCGCAGCGCGTCCGCCTCCTGCGCGCACAGCCGCGCCTCGGCCTCGGCCTCGCGCCGGCTCTCCTGGCCGCGCCGCAGCGCCTCCTCCAGCCCGCGCACCTCGTCCTCGTACAGCTGCGCCGTCTCCCGCCACGACTCGGCCACCAGCAGCGCGTAGCTGTCGTGCACCGCCCGCAGGCGCGGCGGGGCCGCGGCGGGGCCGGGGCCGCGGGCGGCTCGGTAGTGCATGGTCAGGCCGGAGGACAGAGCGCGCAGCTCCCGCACTTGGCGCTCGTGGGCCTCGTCCAGGTTGTGGCGCTCGGCTTGCAACCGGCCCAGCATGGCTTCGAGGGCGGCACGTGCGCCCAGCGCCTCCTGCAGCTCCCGCCGCTGGGCGCCCAGCTCGGATTCCAGGCGGCCCCGGTCGGCCGTGGCCTCCGCGTCCAGACGCCGCAGCTCCAGCAGCTCGCGCCACAGCGCGTCGCGCTCGCCCGCGGCCACCGTCGTGGCCCGGCTCAGCTCGTCCAGCTGCAGCCGCAGGACGCGCGCCTCCTCGGCGCAGCGGGCCCGATCCTCGGCCCGCAGCCCTTCCGCCCCGCGCCGGCCGCGCAGCGCCGCCTCCAGCTGCAGGTTTTCCCGCTCCAGTTCGCGCACCCGGCACACGTAGTCGTAGAGCCGGGCGTTGAGCTCCTGCAGCTCGGCCTTCTCAGCCCGGGTCTGCAGCCGCCAGGTCAGCATCTTGCTGGGTGTGCGGGGCTCTGGCCGGCTGATCGGTGTCTGCCCTCCCGCCCTGATCTTGTCCCCTCCGGCCCCGCCGCTCCGGCCCCGCCGCTGCCTCCGAGTCCCGCAGACTGGGACCGTGGCGGGCGAGACCTGGCACTTAGCGGACTGGGTGGGAAGCAGCGGACAGAGACTCCAGCCAATCAGAGCGCGGCCCGCGGCCTCCAGCCAATCAGAACGCTGCCCGCGACCTCCAGCCAATCAGAAAGCGGCCCGCGCGGCCACTGCGGTTCGACAGCGCCCCCTGCCAGTCAGACCGCAGGGTCGACGCTGACCCCTTCCTGGGTCGCAGGTACATGGGTGCAGGACGAAGGTGGGATTGTTTTCTGGCTGTGACTCCATCGCCCTGCAAGGCATCGAGAAGGGACAAGGGCCAGGGCTCTCACGCAGACCCACGGCACCCCAAAAGCGCTAGGGTTCATGGATGAAAAAGTGAGATATACTGGGACATCATCCATGGCTCTATTATATGTGTGTGCGTGTGTATAATGTATTTTATACATAATATATTATATCTATAGAAGGCCTGGCGGGAAAGTGCGTGAGACTCTTATCTCCAATTAATTAACAAAAAGTCAGAAATAGAGCAGTGGCTTCAGTGGTAGAGCTCTAGCTTAGAGTTGAAAAGCTGAGAGTCCGAGGGCCTGAGTTCAAGTCCCACTAATGGGCACCAAAATACAAGCAGTCTGCAGGCGGTAGAGGTTTCTCTCTCGGGTCTGAATCCCCTGACACTCTGTCATGGCTAAATTGCACCAAGGTGTGGGACAGAGGGCTTGGTTGTGGCCAGGTGCTCGTGGCACCCAGTTCCTGCTCGTTAAGCCCAGAGAGGACCCAGCAGTGACATTCCCCAAACCTGCCTGGCCAGGGGAGGGACAGGGGAGGGCACTCAGGGCATCCTTCCGGAGTGCCACTGGACCACAAACCCCTGGACTGAGCCGCACTCGTCAGGTTAACATCCGGAAACCTGCCCGGCTTTGCCTGGCTGGGCAGGCAAAGGTGAGCCAGCTCCTCCCGCATCTGCGGCTCTTCCTAGGAGGATGCTTTGCTCTGATTCATGAGGTTTTCTTTGCTCTGTGCCCTTCGAGGTATTGGATTTTGAACGTCACAACCTTCTGTCTCACTTCTGCTTGAAATCCTGCCGCAGTGTAGAGCTACCCAGATAGAGAAGAGAGAACCCACCAGGAAACAGGAGGAGGAAACACAAGTACTGTTTGTTCATTTTCCAAAATCACATCTTACTTAATCCTTGAAAAACTGAGGCTCAAGGAGTTGAGTAATTTGCCTGAGAATGCACAGTTTTGCCAGGCACCTGCAATTCACATCTGCAGTCCTAGCTACTCAGGAGGCTGAGAACTGAGGATCTGTTAGAAGCCAGCCTGGGCAGAAAAGCCCATGAGACTCTGATCTCCAACTAACAGGAAAGAAAGAAAGGGAAGGAGGGAAGGAGGGAGGGAGGGAAGGAAGGAAGGAAGGAGGAAGGAAGGAAGGAGGGAAGGACGGAGGGAGGGAGGGAAGGAGGAGGGGGAGGGAGGCAGGAATGGAAGAAGGGAGGGAAGGAAGGAGGGAGGAAAGGAAGGGAGGGAGGGAAGGGAGAGCTGTAAGTGGAGCAGTAGCTCAAATGGTAGAATGCTAGCCTTGAGCACAAAAGCTAAGAGATAGCACTCAGCTCTGAGTTCAAGCCCTAGGAATGGCATGCACATGCGCATGTGTGTGTGTGCGTGCGCACACACACACACAGACACAGACACACAGAAAAACACAGTTCCTAAATTGGGGGATGGAAGTATTGTTAGCGGTTGCAAGCATGGAACAGACTTGATCTCCCAAAGGGAAGGGAGTAAGGGGCTGGATGGAGAGAGAGGGCTATTTATATCAGGAAACAGCAAGAATGGGAAGCAAGGCATCCTTAGCACCCTAGGGTGCTGGCTGAGCCTGGGGGATCCTGGAGCTCTGGAGGGCGGCCCAGGTTGGAAGGAGCCTGCAGAAGGTACTCTGGGCTCCATCTCCAGCCAGCGTCTTGTGCTGTGGAAGCCAGGCGTTGACCAACCTCCCTGCAGGGGGCGCTGGAGGCTGTGCAGCCTGGCTGTGATGGTTAAATTACCCATCACTGGAAATAGAGGCTCAAAGTAGAAATTAGATACAGAAAACACAAACGTGTTATTTCCTGTACATCTTAAGTTCATGATGGAGTGGTACACTTGCTCCTGGCATCTGGCCAGACAGGAAAAGAAGCCTATGCCAGTCTAACTTGAAGGATTGAGCTGAGCACAATATGGTGGCGGGTGGGGTGGGGGGGGAGACTGAGTTTGGCATCCTGGTGCATGACCTTGAAAGGACAGCCTCTCTGATCCTGTTCCCTTATTCAGGTAAAATGGCTCCCTCCCAAGTCGCTGATACAGACTTGGATTACAGGTGTGAGTCTCCAGTCCCTCTCTCCCGCCCCCCTCTTTGGGTTCTTGAACCTCCCAGGCTCAGTTTCCTCATCTGTCAAGTGAGGCTAACTCTTCCTAAGACTGCTCCAAGAATAAAAGCAGACAGGAGGGAGAGGGCCTCGGGACAGGGCATCTTTCCTTATACCCTATTTGGTGTGGAAAAGCTGTTTGAACACAGCCTCTCTTTCTCAGAGCCCCCCCCCCCCCTTCAGCCTTCCATGGCTCTTCCGGCTATTTCTAGTGAGCAAGTGCTTGTTTATCACAGCAGGTGCTTAGAGTTGGTTTGGAGGCTGCCTTTTCCGAAGGTGTGAAAATAGCATTTGTCAGATGAAGAAAATGTACAGTAACTTCATCTGCATAACTTCCTTCTCTTCATTAGTAGAGCCATGTCCTGTGCATTTGCATGTGGCCTGGGGAGTAGGCCCCAAGGGGTGATCAAGTGGAGGAGGGGACTTAATTACAGTGTATAGAATTGAGTTCTTCGAGAAGCGATTAGAATTAGATCAGGTCATCAAGGTGACGGTCCTCAGGGTTAAAGACTGATGGCTTGAAGAGGAAAGAGAAAAGGCTAGGCACCGTAGTTCACACCTGTAGTCCCAGTTACTCGGGAGGCAGAGATGGAAGGATTGAGGTTTGAGACCAGCCTGTTGGCGGCGGTGGGGGAGGGGGGTAGTCAGAAATGAAGTAACAATGAAGTAGGAGGATTGTAATCCACAGCTGGCATGACAGAAGGTGTGAGAGCCTATGGGAAAAGTAAAGCCAAAAGGACTGGTGGTATTGGTTCAAGTGGCAAAGAGCCCTACCTGCTAAGCATGAGGTCCTGAGTTCAAACCCTAATACCACCAGAGAGACAAAGATGGAGGGACAGACAGGCCACAACATTGGTGACACCCTGCACTACCATGGGAACTTGCCAACCAAAGGCTGTCACCAAATAGAGCCACTCAACCTTGGATTCGCGCCATGAGGTTCTAGCCCCGTTTCTTTATAACTTCCCCAGTATTGTGGTATCAGCAACAGGACTGAGATTGCACTCAACCCCTCTAAAAAGCCACGGGCACTCCAGCTTCTGGGGAACGTGGCTGCCATCCAGTTGGGGAAGGGCTGCAAATGGAAACAGCGCTCACTGCCCGGGAGGCAGCGGGGCTCTCGTTCGGTGGGTGGGTCTACGTGACTCAGGGCCATAAATTGAGTAATGACTTTCCATAAGGAAAATTGGATCATGAGTTTTCGTGGCAGTGGTTTTGATTATATATATCTAGTGATGTGTTTGTGGGCAGCCCATGTATCTCCCTCCTAGGAACACCAAGTTCTGTGAGTCATCTCTGCAGACTCCCCCCAACCTTCAACACACACACACACACACACACACACACACACACACACACCTTGTTTCTGGTACTTTCTGACAGCCATCTGCTCTCTGCTAGCCCAGTGGTTTTCAAAAGTCTATTTCCCCAACCAGTAAGAGAAAGAAACCTTGCTTGAAAACCTATTAGAAATGAACATTTACTAAGCCAGGCATCAGAAGCTCACCCCTATAATCCTAGCTACACCGGAGGCTGAGCTATGAGGATCACGGTTTGAGGTCAGGCTGGTTAGAAAAGTCCACGAGACTCTTAAGTCTAGTGAACAAGCAAAGAGCTAGAAGCTGTAGCTCAAGGGGTGGTGCACCACCCTTTAGTGGAATTAAACTGGGAGACAGGGCTCCGGCCCTGAGTTCAAGCTCCAGGAAAAGCACAGAAATAAATCAAAAAAATAAAGTGGCTATTCTGTTGATCTATCTACTGACAGTTTATTTCATTGACTCAATTATCCAACATTTAAGAGGTAGGGGGAAAAAAGTGTTCATTTCCCCACAAGTGAAAATAGGGAATAATGAACTTATATCAACATGACAGCATTTCTCATCAAGCATACTGACATGATTTAAATGACTTTTACATTCAGTGTCCTACAAAGGGTACAAGAAAAGTATCTCATATACAGTCAGTGGGAATTACAACCTTTTGTATGAAGGAACCTTCTGGAAGCTTTGGGTAGAGGATCAAATACATATACCATATAACCCAGGCAACTCACTGATGGTTGATCAACTCAAATGATGTATATTCACTGGTGGGACTCGGAAAAGCAAGTTAAAATGGTATAGCACACATATAGTATTTATTGTGTAGTCAGACCAGCGCTAAATCGTTTTCAAGACTCACTTTAGGAAAGCTTTTAAGCTAACCCAATGAGTCCTGGTTTCTAGGCAGGAAGTGTGACCCAACAGGTCACATGACAGGTATGGGCATGCCAGGATCAGACTGCAGCATTCTTACTGCAAGTCTGCCTTGGTAACCCTCTAGGATTTTATATGTTGGTCTCGTGTGTTTTTATGTGTGTCATTTTTTGGGGGGGTCCGGTCGTGGGGCCTGAACTCTGGGCCTGGGCGCTGTCCCTCAGCTCTTCAGCTCAAGGCTAGCGCTCTACCACTTGAGCCACAGCACCACTTCCGGCTTTTTTCTTTATGCTTATGTGGTGCTGAGGAATCGAACCCAGGGCCTCATGCATGCAAGGCAAGCGCTCTACCACTGAGCCACCTTCCCAG